GGCAGCGCGGCCGGGGCCGGCGCGGGCAGCTGCGCCCTGGCGGCCCCGCTGCGCGGAGCGGAGGCCTTTGTCTGCGGCGGGAGGAGAGGGAGTGTGCGCGGGGCCTTCCCGGACAGCCCGCGCGGCGCCCTCGTTACCTATTTATTTATTTATTTTTATAGTGAGGCTTGCAGGAGGCAAAACGTTACAATGGGAGAGTCTTGTGATCCAAATATATTTGCCCCCCCCCTTTTTAATTTTTTTTTTTTTTTTTTGCGATCAGAAAAGAATTGCTGCCCGTGCCCTGCATCTGCCTTTATAAAAGCAACTCAGTCCAAAGCAGGCCTAAGGAAGCAGGCACGGAGCCGCTCCTGAATCTATCACGAGGGAGCTGTTCTAGCCCTTGGCAGTTGTCTGCTTCTCTCTCGTGAGTACCATTGGTGTTGTGCTGCCACAGCCTGTTCCTGCCCCCGGAGAGGGAAGGAGCACCAAGGTTAAGGTGGAGAGTCGCTTCAGCTTGTGCTCTGCATGGGCACGGAATTGGGAGAAAAACTCAAGTTCCTCCTCTTTTGGAGTCCTGTTTGACACCATTTGACAGCGTTTTCAGAAAGACAAACCTGTCGGTTTCAGTAAGCACCTTCTGTTTTTAGACACTACCCCGTAATAGTTGGGGGTGCAACTCAGTGGCAGCAAATATTTCTAGATCACCTCAGATGTATGTAAGCAAATTTTTCTATTTTATCTGAGTACTTTTTCTGTGTTTGATGGTGATACCTCGTGTAGCATGCAGGCAAATCTAGATAAAGCTGTGGAACTGTGTGAGAAGGGTTTGGATGTTCTTCACTGAGTATCAGCTAGCTTGAAATATAACAATAAAAAGAAGACTTAAGGTGAGATTTTCTTCCTTGTGAGAAGTGTAATTTTTTCATGTCAATAGTACAAGGAATTTTTTTGGTGACAAACTGTAGGCTTAGTTACTTTCTGTGGCTTAAATGGCTTAACAAATAGCATAAGAAACCTTAGACCTTGTCGAGAGTGATATAAAAGGCTACGTAATAGCACTAAAAGGCAAAACCTTATTTATTACATACGCTGTCTCTGTTTTTTAAAACTGTTTCTGGTGCTCAGCTGAACACTTCAATATGGTGAAAAATGTATAAAATATAGAGTTCTTCTGTGGACACTTCAGTGAAACATAGGCGTTCAAATTGAATACTAGGTATAACAGTTCTTTAACCAGTGTGGTATTACATAATGTAGTGTTATGGACCTAAAATACTCACAGATTCTGTGTGTATATATACACAAATATACGTGTGTATATATATAGAAATGTAGTTTGGTATAACTTATACTATAAATTTAAGGGAATGGAACATCTCTTTAAGGGAATGGAACATCTCTCGTATGAAGAGAGGCTGAGTGAGCTGGGCCTGTTTTCTCTGGAGAAGAGACGGCTCAGAGGGGATGTGATTAATATGTATAAGTTCAGGAAGGGAGAATGCAGGGAGGAAGGGGACAGGCTGTTTTCACTGGTGGCCAGCGACAGGACGAGGGGTAATGGCCACAAGCTGAAGCACAAGAAGTTCCGTCTCCAGGTGAGGAGCAACTTCTTTACTGTTAGGGTGACAGAGCAGTGGAACAGGCTGCCCAGGGAGGTTGTGGAGTCTCCTACTCTGGAGGTCTTCAAAACCCGCCTGGATGCCGCCCTGTGCCACATGCTGTAGGTGTGCCTGCTTGAGCAGGAAGGTTGGACTAGATGATCTGTAGAGGTCCCTTCCAACCTTGAATATTCTGTGAATCTGTGAAACTAAAGCTCGGCAGCAAATATTGTAACTGCCTGTTTCGTCTGGACATAGCTGTTCTAAAAATGGCTACAAAATGTTTTGCAGGTTGTGTTTTTGAAGAGTTACAGTTTATGAAAGCACTTTTAGATACTAATTAGTTCAGTCATGTGACACCAGTAGAAGTAAGATGGAGGCTGCGAGTAGGTGGCACAACTGCCAGATTAAAAGACGTTAGCTGCCAGTGGTATTTAACTAATCAGCATACGTTCTGTTTATGACCCATATATTTGTCACTTTATTAAGAGGAAGAAAAAGCAAATGAAAAAATAGGCAAAAACCTCATAACTTTATTAATAAATAAATTAAATATTACTAATATCTACATATCCTGGCATTGCTGCGCTATTAAAACTTCTCATATGGTCACTCCCATCTTACTCAGCCTTTTGGCAGGCAGGGATGGTGCAGAAGCGTGTGGTAGCAAGGTCTCCGTGTCTGTAGCCATCAGTTCATATATTTTAAATTCTTTACGATCTCACGAGCTTCAGCTGAGCCTGCTCTCAGGCCAGCCCTGGGAGCCTCTGTGGTTCAGTGCTACCCCTGCCAGACCCAATCCCTGAATATTAAAGCATGCTTACTCTGACACAGAGTCGGCACTAATAAGTCTCAGTGGATCTTACCCAGCTTTAGGGCCATGTGGGTATTCGTGTATTCTCCCAAGTTTTGTAACCCTGTAACTGGTGCAGCTGGCTCTGCATGCAGCTTTGTTCCACCGGGGGTTATTAACTCAGAAGAGCTGGGTATGATACCAACCAAACTCCTGGGCCCGACTTGAACCTGGACTATTTTAGTTGTTTTTATGTCATACTCACCTTATCTGTTGACTCAAGTTGGGTCCGAGCTGCTCCTACTCAGAGTAAACTTAGATATTTTGCCATCCATGACATTGTTCATGTGCATCTTGGAAAAGCTGCCCAAGGGCAGCGAAGTGGACGTTTCCATTAGTGTGTTAGCTCCGAGCAGGGACACGCTTGTGAGGCAAGTCTCCAGTCGGCCCCACTTAGCCACCTTCTGTGCACATTGGCTTGCAATATTGCAATGGATGGATTCCTTTAAGATAAAAATACACCAAAAATGCACTCTTAACTGTCAATGGGCAGTCAGCCCCCTCGAGCAGGCTAGAGCGAGTCTGAAGTAAAAACTCCCCTGAAACATGTAGTGTGGACCTTGGAGTCTCAGCTTCAAGTAAGCAACTATTTAGTTGTGTGGTTATGCTATACCACCTCTGACTGCTGGGAGGGCCTGTGCCTTTCTTGTCTCTACTCTGATTGCTGACAGGAGGAAAAAAAAAATTTAAAAAAGTTATTTTCTTTCCTTGCAGCCTTGTTGCTTGTTTGCTTGCTGCTATGGAGAGATGCGTGCCTCAAATTTATCCCTTCTCCAGTGAGCAATCTCAGACTGGGTTCCTGGGTATTCTGTCTATTTTTGTTTTGTTTTAATATATAGAATAGAATTAGAATTAAACTTGTATCTCTGACAGGTTCATGTTAATATTCACAGATAGTAGCAAGACTAAACCTTTCTTTAATTTGGTGTGGTGGTCTTCAGGGCCAGAGCAGCTTTCTAGCTGTTGCAAAAATAGCCTGTCAGTGTGGAAGAAATAAGAATATAGCTCAGAGCTGATGACTTTTTGGAGCTATAGGGTTAGCAGTACATTTTACATATATCTGATAGAAAACTGAAACACCTAATCTGTTCTTATTACCTACCTTCCTCCTCTGAGGAGGACCATTTCCTGAATGTTTTTTTTCCTTTCAATACCAATTAGTGCATATTATTTATACATCCGTGCCTGTGTGTATGCAGGCAAAGGTTTTTTTCAGTCAATCATTTTTCTACATTTTTTTAGTTAAAGGAGCTTTTCACCTCTTGGTGTCCCACACACACAGCCCAAAATGGTGTCTCAGCTGAAGTGCCGTCAGAGCAGGAGAAGCGGCTGCCCCTACAGGCACCCTGGAGAATAACTTCCAAGCTCCTCTTGTTAAGGTCTTGTGACCCTCAGATTGTGCAATGCTGCTGTAGCTCTCTGGATTTTTTTTTTTCTCTGATGAAAAAAGAAAAAATTGTTTGCCAGTTCATCTTGGTACCTTTTTCTTTCCCCATTTGTTTTAAAATTGGAAAAAAGACAGAAACATGTGCGTGTTGTTTCTGCAGAACAGAAAGTGTTTATTTATTGTGTTGTATAAAGTTTTATAAAATAAGCTGTTGTTTAATTGCTGGAGGAAATTCCATTTGCTATCATTGTGGCTTCAGCTGAGTTATGTTGTAAAGCCATATATTTATTCTTACATTATTAAATACTTTTTAGATCTCAAAGATGTTACCGGTGAATATGTATGGCCATTCCTTCTCTCCAATCCACTGTATGTGTTTATGTCTTGATGTTTCAAGTCTGTGTGGAAGCAAAGTTTTGCTACTTGGTTCTTTTACAATTTTTGAGTTCTTTTAAATATACATGCTAAGATGGTAGAGTAGCAATTCGAGCTCTTCTAGTATTCAAGAGTTTGGTTAACAGCTTGCCCTTGTGCATGCATGGAAAGCACAAGGGGCTCCAGCAAAGCTTTTATTTGGTGTTTCTTTAATGTTCTATGCCAGAAAGTTGTAGAGAGTATCTTCTAGTCGACAATTCTATTTCACATATCAGAATTCTGTTTATCATAACCTGTTCTTGAGACCTGCTGCTTTGATTTTTGACCTATTTCAAAAGCAGTTGCAGTGAGGATATGATACTATAGGCTATAATGTAGACTGTACTTTGAGAAACTTGATTGTTTGCTTAGATAACTAGCTGAACTCTTGTAGTCTGTGTGTCTGTAGTCGGTACCCACATGACTGGGTATGTCTGAAGTTGCTCTCATGCCTTTTCACTGCAGCTGTGGGTCTGTGTACCCACAGGCTCGTGTCAATGTGCTGAAATGCCAAGTGTGCTTCCACAAGCATAAGTGCAGAGATCTAGCTTGTGTTACCTGCAGCCACAGTGCTCCGTTTAGTTTCTGGAACTGAGAGGGCAGATGCTTTTTAAAGACTTGACCACATACGACTGATGAGATGATACTGGGAGAAAGAATATATGCCTCAGTAGTTTTAAAAGTGCTCCATTTTTGTCCTCATTGGTTGGTGTCTGTTATAATTAGTAATATATACATAACAAGAACCATCTCATGAGCAAACTATAAAATGTTCTCTACTGTCTGTGTTAGCATGTTAAGCCTCAGCTCTTGGAGAAGTTGAACTAAGAGACACTGGAACTGAGAAGTTAAAAATAGTTTGGAGAACCCCCCTGCAAGCTTTTAACTGTCCCTGGGCTGTAATTTGGGAACTTCTGCAGTGTTCTTATTACTAAATGCAATTCACATTCCTCATCTGTTTTGTAAGTGGTTGTTTCTTGTACAAGAGAATGGCATGGATTACTGAAAAGTGTATTCCAGGATTAATTCCACACTCAGATTCAGAGGGAAAAATTTTTTTTAAGAAATTCATTGACGTATGTTTTGAAATTGGTGTGAGAGAGGTGTCAGTTGTGGTTCTGTTTTTTGTTCATTCTGAAACACTTTGATAGTGCTATTATTTTTTTCATTGTGAAAGATATTTGCTGTATCTGTGACTTACGCTTATCCAAGGAAAGGGAAGTAAGGATAGTTTCAATTTGTAGTTGAATGCCCATTTAAATATTTTAAATCATTGAAGATACTTATCAGTCACACTGCTTTTGTAATTAATGTTTGGGGACTGACTAGTGCAATGTTTTCTTTTCCTATGTTTTTGCTAGTTTGCACCTGTAAGAATGTCTTTTCCACCTCATTTGAATCGCCCTCCGATGGGAATCCCAACGCTTCCCCCTGGGATTCCACCTCCTCAGTTTCCTGGCTTTCCTCCACCTGTGCCTCCTGGTAAGTTATGGTAGTATATGCAGCTGTTAGAGAAAGAGGTTACCCTTTGTTATTTGAAGTTCTGTTGCTTGCAGAAGTTATTCTGTATTAATGTATTTCAGTAACATTGCTTTGACAGCAGACTGCAATTTTCAGTTCCTTTCAAAGAGGACATTTACAGCCTTTGGAAATACTCAGTGCACTGAACATTTGTAATGTGAAAATACGGCAGCAACTTTGGGGAGAATCTTCAGATTTGCTATAAACTAGCTGAGTGCTGCTGCCCTTATTTAAATATGAATTAAAAATGTAAACAAGCAACAAAAAAAAAGGTTGTATTTTGTCTTGTGTTAAATACTTCCGCTAAGGAACCCAACAGTTTTAGGATCCTTTCATGCCATAAAACATGATAAATTGGGAAGAATGAGTTAGCTCCATAATGGAAGGCTCTGTTGCAGCTTGTGGGTTCTGTGTTCAATTCTCTGTCGTATTGTAGCATATATATATTTTTAAATCTGTCTGGAGGCTTAGCAGATATCTTGGACTTCTTAAGGAACAAACAGAATCTCTAATCTGAAGTTCAATGCATTTGAGCCATCAAATTCCAGAACTTTGTTGCCCCCTGTATGAAGTACTGCTTTTATATGTCTATTTTTAAAATATTTTCCTGCTAGTTTCAGTGAGTGCACCTCAGTTCTAAGGCTGTGTGAATTTGGTGGATTGCCTTCTGTGGTTCTGCCACATTGAATCAGGCCTCACGAGCCTCCACGTTGCAGACCTTTACTTCTAAGGCAGCTGTTTTGCCAATTGAATCACACAGTTGCTCTTCTCCAGACTGCAGGTTCTTCTCAGGTTGCAGAGACTAGATCTGTGTGCAATAATCAATATAGTAGCATATATGATAGGGCATATAGCAGCACCTTATGTCTGTACTGCTCTGTATGTAGAGCTTTGTATGCCTGGCAGCGGCTTTCCTAGTGATGCTCGATACTTCATTTGATTTCCTGGCTTCTGCTTCGTATTAGGCTGATAGTTTCAGAAAACAGTTAATTATAGACTTGTCTAAACAGTAGACTTGTTGCTGAAAACTTACTGCATTGGGCATGGTGTTCCGTGAAGAACACGGGATTGATTTCAGCGTTCTTGATTTGGTTTTTCTCTCATTTTCTTTTCTTTTAATGACAGGTCTGGCTGTGAAATCTAGTCACGTAATATCTTTATTCTTCTTTAGCAGTTGGCGTGCAAAGAATAACAGCCTTTATTATGAACAGATATTAGTTCACATGATGTTACTTAAGGCTGCCAGTGAATTCTGTAGTGGGAAGAGTGTGTGGTTCACCTGAGTAAATACTATTTTAGATCAAGTTTTAAAGACCAAGCCAAGTGCTTAGCAGTTACAGATCTTCTAGATTGAAGCTTTCCTTGTGACCTGTATTAAGCTCTTTTGTAAATAATGTGAAATTGGCTGCTGTCCTTTATAGCACCTTGGTGCCAACCTGTATGCAGCTAGGATTGCACTTTGAGAACTGAACCATTCAGGATCGGGGTTGTAGGACTTTGCCTACTTTTGCTTCTGTTTATGGAATTCCCTGCATCATTCACCACACAGATATGTTTTAGACAGAATGGTCTCAATGCTCTTTGAAAATAAATTTTGCTTCTAAAGTACAAAGCAGCTAAAAAGAGAGCAAGTTAAATAAGAACATGACCAGAATCAACTTGCTGTTTGACGTCAATGGTCTGTGCTCAAATGCTTAGGAATTACTAGTAGCTTTCAATACTGTGAAATTTTTATTTCAATAGAGTTGTTTTTGGGTCTGAAAGTGATGTCTGCAAATGATTAATATTAATATATGTCTTGTCTTTCTCAGGGACCCCTATGATTCCTGTACCCATGGGCATTATGGCTCCTGCTCCAACTGTAAGTATTATACTGGGGATGAAATGACAGGAAAGTAAAATGGAGAGTAAAACTTTCATGCTTCTTAGTAGATGGGATAATAATATTTTTTGTTTTGCTGTGTTTCACCTAAATTCATATTGTAAAAGGAAGTGCATAGGTTTGAATGCAGCTATTCTAATACTATGTTAATTTCTGACCTAAGCAAAGCTTGAAGACATGTCTGTACTTGCTAGCTGCAGTACTGGAGCACCTGCTGTTTTTCAAAAAGATTGCTCTGTACTGCAGTGATTTAGGTAATGGTACCTCATGCTCCTGTATGGTCTAGCTGTGCAGTGTGGTCAGATTTTAAATCTTTCAAGACTGCCAACCTAGCAGTGTGCTCTGGAGGCATCGCCTAATCCAGCTTTACGAGGGCATCGTACTTCACTGTTGAGTTGGCTAGAAAGGTGTGTGAGCAGTTTACAAACAAATCCTCTTTTTCTATATCGTATGGGAGGGAAGAGTTGCAGACAGTGCACACCTGCAGAAGAGTATGTAATTTTTTTTCTTTTTCCTAATTGGAAAGAAGACTTCCAATTTATGAAAATAAGTTGTCTTTTAAAAGTGTGAAGTTTTGCTCCTTGGCTTCAAAGTGCATTACCATTTTTATGACACTTGCATAAGTGAAATCTCCCCGAAATACTAAGTTTTGGATCGTTCACGTTCTGTTACGCAGGAATATGCTCACAGAAACCAGTGTATTTAAGACCAAGATGGAACAAGCACCTTATTTGCAGTCCTGAAAGCCATTTTAATTAAAAAGAACCTTATTAAAAGGATTGCATATATATATAGTCAGGTGGTAGGTGGAAGGAGAGATGCAGCAAACAAGAACAGATTGTCGTGCCTGTCTTTGTATGGTCTGTTTAACAAATGGTTGCTCCTTAACCAAAGCAGGAGGCTGTAATAATCGATTTATACCGACTTAGTAAAGCAATAGTGTTTATTCATTCTGCAAGAGCTTTAAGCCTTGTCTAGAGTCCTTTGAGGCCGCCTGAGTCAGAGTTACTTTTCTGTTTGCAGTTTGTTTCTTTAGCAATTCAGTACAGCATTAGGCGAGTTACTTCAGCTTTCCATGAGTCAAATGTCTCATTTTATGTGCTGATCTTGATACCTTCATTAGCAACAGATGAGGGCAATACTTCTTTCTTCCTTATTTTGACAGAAAATGTCAATCTCTTTTTGTGCTGTGTAAAAAGTTAGCTATTTACAATTTTATATTAATATTTATAATATTAATATTTATGATATTAATATTTATGGCATTAATATTTATAATATTAATAGCTGAACTATTTATGGTATCTCACTCCGTAAGCATAGCTAATACTCATATGAAAACTTAATTCTGAAATACAATTTCCAATTCTTTTGTCTTATGCATTTAAGTCTCTTACAACTATGGGGGAGAACAAAACAAACAAAAACACTCTTTAACTTTTTAATAACATCTCGTCTTTCTAGGTGTTAGTTCCTACCACAGTATCTATGGTTGGAAAACATTTGGGAGTCAGAAAAGAACACCCTGGCTTAAAAGTCAAAGAAAATGATGAAAACAGCGGTCCCACTACCACCGTTTTTGTAGGCAACATTTCTGAGAAAGCCTCAGACATGCTCATACGGCAGCTTCTAGCGGTAAGTGCACTGCACTGCTCGTTAAATCATAGAATCATAGAATGCTTAAGGTTGGAAGGGACCTCAGAGGTCATCGAGTCCAACCCTCCTGCACACGCAGGGTCATCTAGAGCACGTGGCACAGGGCTGCATCCAAGCGGGTTTTAAAGATCTCCAAAGAAGGAGACTCCACAACCTTGTTGGCTGGTAGATAATGACTACTAGAAAATAATGTGTTAGAACTAAAAATAGAGATTGTTCAGCTCACTGCAGTAGTGGCTGTTAGGCTTGAGTTTTAAGTTGGTAAATACTTGAAGAACACAGCTTTGTGGATTTTTTTTTAAGCTATATACATGTAACATTGGGCATAAATTATTTGTAGTAGTGTTTATGCTTTTCACAATTTTTTCACAATGTTTCTTTGCAACAGTAATTGCAAGTAGCAAAGATTTTAATACTTCGAGCAGAATAGATGTTTAATATTATTTATCTTTAATACAGAAATGCGGCTTAGTTTTGAGTTGGAAGAGAGTACAAGGAGCATCTGGAAAACTTCAAGGTAAATGTGCTTTTAATAATCTCTGGTCAGACTGCTGTTTTTATTACTGGCAACTTTTCAAACATATATGAGGCATTTCTATCCTAATACTTTACAGATTAAGACAGGTATAGTATACAATGCTTAACTGCTAAATACTTTGTGGTAGGGATTTAGTATGTTCTGTCCTTGGAATCAAGAAAGAAATGGGGGTGGGGAAGAAAGATTCAGAATGTTTCTTGAAGTTTCAGCTTTCCATTCTGAAACAGTCAAGGGTTTGCAGACTGATCCCTTAGAGATATTTACTAACCTGGACTTCTCCTCAGAAGGGAGATTTCCAGCACTGTTAGGCAGTCTATTCCATTAGAGTATTAGTCTGTTCCTGCTTGACTGCTAAGGAGGTTTTCCTCATATCTGAACTAACTTAGCTTTTCTCCCTCTTCCCAAATTGAACTGATTTTCCTCCCCCCTCCCCTTGGACCTTTCTTCACTGGATACAGGAAGCCTTTTCATTACTGTTCTTTGCTGCTGTATTTGATTGTCACTTAATCATTTTCTTCAACTTTTTGTTGTATCGTTACTTCTTAACTTTAGTTCTTTACTTTGGTCTTAAGGACTTTTTCTCATTTAATTACAACTTTAACTGTTGTGAAGAACTCAATTTGAAATATCCTTCTAGTTTAACAGTGACCTATTGGTTGACATCCTTGGCCTTCAGATAATCGGATAATTGCAACTCCACTGTACCTTCCTGTAGACTTCATTTCCCCAGTTTAGAAAGTCGTATCAAAAGCCTTACGAACACAACATATGTTTAATTCTATTCACTGGGCCATTAATCATATCAAAGATTAAAGAAGTGACTGATTTTTTGACTGTCTCTTTTATGATATGTATTCCTGTCTTAAAAAAAAAAAAAAACATAGATTTAATGATTTAAAACACTTTTTTTTTCTCAAAATTAATTATCTCAAGAGTGTTTATGTTTTATTTCAATTATCTGTTTTAGCCTTTGGGTTTTGTGAGTACAAAGAACCAGAATCGACGCTTCGAGCACTGAGACTGCTCCATGATCTCCAGATTGGAGAAAAGAAGCTGCTAGTCAAAGTTGATGCAAAGACAAAGGCTCAGCTAGATGAATGGAAAGCAAAGAAAAAGGCCTCTAATGGGGTATGTAATATAATGTGTGACTTGAGACAATGCTGAAATAATCCTTACATGCTAGGATAAGGACAAGTGTAGGGTCCTGCACCTGGGGAGGAATAACCCCAGGCATCAGTACAGATTAGGGATCGACCTGCTGGAAAGCACCTCCACGGAGAGGGACCTGGGAGTCCTGGTTGACACCAAGTTAACCATGAGTGAGCAGTGTGCCCTCGTGGCCAAGAAGGCCAATGGGATCCTGGCTGCATCAGGAGGAGTGTTGCCAGCAGGTCAAGGGAGGTGATTCTGCCCCTCTACTCAGCTCTGGTGAGGCCGCACCTGGAGTACTGTGTGCAGTTCCGGGCTCCCCAGTATAGGAGGGACGTGGAGCTTCTGGAGAGGGTCCAGAGAAGGGCAACCAGGATGATTAAGGGAATGGAACATCTCTCGTATGAAGAGAGGCTGAGTGAGCTGGGCCTGTTTTCTCTGGAGAAGAGACGGCTCAGAGGGGATATGATTAATATGTATAAGTTCAGGAAGGGAGAATGCAGGGAGGAAGGGGACARGCTGTTCTCACTGGTGGCCAGCGAYAGGACGAGGGGTAATGGCCAYAAGCTGRAGCMYARGAAGTTCCGTCTCCAGGTGAGGAGCAACTTCTTTCCTGTGAGGGTGACAGAGCAGTGGAACAGGCTGCCCAGGGAGGTTGTGGAGTCTCCTACTCTGGAGGTCTTCAAAACCCGCCTGGATGCCACCCTGTGCCACATGCTGTAGGTGTGCCTGCTTGAGCAGGAAGGCTGGACTAGATGATCTGTAGAGGTCCCTTCCAACCTTAAATATTCTGTGAATCTGTGGTTAACTTAAGGATTTTGTAAAAATGACATTAATGAGTCTGAAGATTGAAGTCCAGTGAGGTCTAAGCTTCTGATTTGCAAGCCCACTGGTAAACTTCTAGCATGTTGACTACTCTGAGTAAACACACTTAGTTTTTTTAAATTGACTGACCACGTAGCTGTTCTGTGTGAATTTACGTAGCAATGTAAAACTATTTATATGTGTGTTATGTTGGAATTAGAATGTCAGTGTGCAAGTCATTTCCATTTAACTGAATTGTAAAATCATGGCAGTAGTTTAGTGTGTTGCAGACCTCTCCACGAACTACACCTGAATCTCTAGAATGAATTTTGTAATCCATTCTAAAGCTGAGTAACACATGCCCTACCTTATGAATCTGCTATTCCATCTTTATTCATGAGCTATTAAAAGTTTATGAACTCAAGTCATTGTTACTGTGGCAGACAGTGTAAACTCTATGTGAAGATAATCAGGGTTTCTCCCCTCCATCCTGCAGTGCTTTTCTCTCCCTTCCATTATTATGTTCTCGAAGTAGGTCATTCTGTGTAGTTGTAACGTAGTGAACAGCTTACAGGCAGATCCCATGTTTAGTAGATGGGGAAATATCTATATTTTTGTACATTTGTGTCCTAGGGATAAAAGACAGGTATAGGTCACTGCTCATCTATTAACTCATAACTTTTGTAATGCTTGTTGTATATTCTGGAATATAAAAATTACAGTGGAGTACAAAAATACTAAGCTGCAGAATATGCATTGAAATCAATTTTATCAATTTCTTTTCTAAAATGATGCATCTCACTTGGTAATCTAGTTGTTGGGTTTGCTCTTTAACTATTTTAAGATTGTTCACATACCGTAAGATATTTACCACGTAGAACAGCTACTTTCTGTAAAGTGAAAGTGAACAGAGGTTCTTGTTCAGAAAGCTAAATCAGAGTTGCTCTTAAAGCTGTGTCAAATGTAGTGGGGACACACAGTTTCATTTCCTTTTGCTTAACAAGAGGCATAGCGATGACTTGAAGCACTCCTGACTGTCTGCCCAGCATATGGGGTTAAATGCAATGAATACTAAGTACATGAGCATGAAACATTAGCTGCTAACCAAGATTAGGAGAAAAAGTGTGATTTGCCTTCCCCTTCTGTTCTAGGCCTGCTTGTTTCCTCTTGATATCACTTGTAATATCCATGCTTTACAGCTGGGACTGTGCTCAAGGTTAAAGTAGCAGGGAAATTTTTGGATATCTCATACATTTTGTTTTCTGAGTGCTCCTTTGGGTTGAGGATGGGTATAGTAAAGCAGTGGGTGCTGTTTGTGTCTTTGAAGTTGCATTTTGTCAAAGACAACAGATGCCTATTTCAAATACAAGTGAGATTAGCTGCAAGTGTCTTTTCGATAGTAGAGAAAGGCTGGAGCTGCTGAGGAATTTTTATCAAGCATATTTTATTGTACCTCTGTGGTTCCTTTCAATTAACTTGTGTCTGCTATTACCGGTGCCACTGAGATTCCAAGGTTGCAGCTTTCTGAAATCTTTTATTAGAAAACTAAGTGCATATGCTGCAAAGCAATTTCTTAGAGACACACCAAGCAAACCGTGATCTAATTAGATCCTCTCCCTGATCACTTCTTCTCCCTGGTCCTTTTCAATTCCACTCCCTGTCACTGGCTTCTAGCTCTTTTCAGCCTGCTCCTCCTTGGCTCCTCCAGCCTGGCAGCCTCTTCAGCTCCAACTGAATCTTCCCTTCCCCCTCATTCTTAGCTGCTGCTCCATCAGACCTTTTCCTCCCCCTCATCCCACCCACCACCTATCGCTTGACGGCATTCCCAGCTGGATTTCAGGTAGGATTCCATTTTTTTTAAAGAATGGAAGGGATTGAGAAGTGGGCAGGCTTACTTAGCATGCAGGTTAGTACACTATATTCTTTCATGTAGCCATCACTGAAAGATGCTTTGTGTTTGTTCTCCTTCCTGACTACAACATTGAAAGGGGCAGAAAGGTGAGAGAAACTGGGAATTAATCAGCCACAGTAAGAAAGTATTTGTTATGTGAGGAATACTTTCTTTGACAATGTTTATTTTATTATAGTTTTCCTTTTACATGGTGCAACTTAAAAATTAGAAGTAAATATTTGTATTGCATGGCACTAAAGTAATAGGCTTTGAAGAACTGCTGTTGAAGTGTCTTAAAGCTCTGGAGAAAGGATGGTAGAAACTTTTGACCAGCCCTTGAATTACAGTGATTACCTTTATGAATGTGTGTCCTCTTTCTCTTTTCTTGTCTACCATTTAACCGCTATGTATCTGTTCTATTTTATTACAATCCTGCAATTGTTCTCTGCAGTGATTCTACATGTAGAACTGTGACCTCTTGTCTCTGCTGAAAGATCTGAGTAATACACTGCATAGCTAAAAGCTGTTTTTAAGTTATTAGTAAATGTTCCAGGCATGTAAATATGATGATCAAAGATAAACTTTTGAAATAAGACTAATATTCTTAATTTGTTGATTTCTCTTCCTTTGCCGTTTTCCCCTTAGAACTCCAGACCAGAGACAACGAATGATGATGAGGATGCACTGGATGAGGAAACAAAGAGAAGAGATCAGATAATTAAAGGGGCCATTGACGTCTTAATACGAGAATATTCCAACGAGCTCAATGCCCCCTCCCAGGAATCTGACTCTCATCCCAGGAAGAAGAAAAAGGAAAAGAAGGAGGACGTATGTGTTTTGATTTTGGACAAAACAGATTTTTCTTCAGCTCACCTTATATAAGGGCCAAACCTTGTGCAAATACTATAAGCCTAAACTTCTGATGAGAAAAAAATCAACAAGCATTGATGTCAGCAGCAGTTTCATGTTTTAAGCTGAAATCTAGTCAGTCATAGAAACTTTCCCTTCAGGATGGTTTAGGGGTCTAAGGACCTAGACTTCTTGGTGCAAGACTTTTGAATCTTGGCAGGTTTCAAACAACCTTTCATCCTTCTGAAGGTGGAAATGCTGAATTCAGTGCAGTGTAATCGGTGTATCTTGAGCGCCCGTGTAGGTTTCTCAGACAAGATCTTTAAAAACAACTGAAGAGTTCCTGCATACCTTGCATTGGCACTGAAGGATGCCAGGGCATTTTTTTTAATGGCAGGAGCTTGCTCTGGAGGGTTTTGACAAATTCTGCCTCTCCTTGCTTATTGTATGCGTTCCTGTAGTGCACCTTGATTCACTTGGCTGCTGCTGTCTCACCCAATGCAGAAGCGCTTCGGTAGTTGTATGTATGTATGCTTAAACTTTGGAGGAATCCTTGAGGGATGAAAGGTGCCTTCTAATCTTACTGCTTTACAAAATCACTTTACACAGATGTCGATTGAGCTGTGTTGATCGGCTGGTTTTCTTATATTGTGTAATGTGCCACAGAAAGAAAAAAAAAGTTAGGTAAAAATGAGTGTTCTGGTGCAGCACCTGCTTCTGTGAATGGTCTTAATGCATTAAAGCAAACTCTTGAGAAGAGGGAATAAGAATGAGCAATCTCAGACTTAGCTTTTCCAACCAAGTTTCTAACCATTGGCTCTCTCGCCTGCCATGCCTCACCTAATGTACAAGAGATTGGAGAACTGGTTTACCAGGATTTTTATTCGCTTAAGTCTTCTGCAAAGTACCTATTCCAAGGCAATAAGGCAGTTTGAACTGCCCACGGGGTGTACGTGTGGTGCAAGAGGCCACATCCCCCTCAGGGAGCGAGTACATCTCCCTCCTCCACAACATTGGTAGCTATGGCTAACCTGAGGTACGAGAGTGCTGAGCTGAGAATTTGTTTCTTTCCTCTCCCTTCTCTTGGGAGAAGATGCTTTTTTGGATGGGAATTGAAGAATGAGTCATTGTCTAATGCTGTGAGCTGTATATTTTTTTAAACAAGCATTGTAACCATGTTAATTGTGTTGTGGGTACATATATGACCTCATGGTATATATGAGAGGCAGCTCAAAACTGGAAGAGGCCACCACAGTCTTGAAAGTGCTGAGCATATTATTGGGATGGAGGGATTCTGCCAGCTCTGTGTGATCTAGAATGAGACTGACCTGAACTAGTCAAGTAGATGAATATGCTCTTTTTTAAAAAGTAGCACTGGTGGGTTGAAATTAAACCCCATCCTTCCTTCCCTAGTGGGAAGGAGGAAAAGAAACTTGAAGGTTGCCCTGTTTGGCCTGTGTGGATAGAGGTGGGAGTGAAGAGGTGGTCCTAGCTCATTGTTCTCTTGCCCGTAAAGGAGAGGGGGGAGAAGGACTGATGGGTGGGGGGTAGGAAGTGGGAAAGGTGGATGCAGATCCCTCTGTGTGGAGGGTGGGATCTGTTCCCTGAAGGACTCCGGGTGAAGAAGGCTCTAGCTGGTGTTAGCAGCAGAGTCTGTGATTAGGTCTTCTGGATATAGGCGTGACTGATGTGGGGCAGATGAAAATGTATGGGGGGAAATGAGAATGAGTGGAATCTGTTTTTTGGTCTTTGGTTTTTCTCTTCAATTTCAAGCATGGGGGAACCTCGCTAATTCGCATTAACTACTAGGATGCTCGAGGTGCAATTTACCAAATTTTGCGAATTAGCGAGTAAATAAATTCAAGACTTATGCACCACAAATACACTGATTGTTCATTTTGGCAAGTGTAGCTTAGTCTTATTTATGACTTTATTATAGTGTACTAATACGCTGTAGTATACTTTGTAATTTGGTGAAGTCTTACTAACATGAGACTCACTCTATATTTCAATAGTTTAGAGAAGGGAGAATTAGCGAGGTTCTTCTGTATTTTTGTTGAATCAAAGAAATGAGAACACAGCAATACAATATTGCTTTATAGTGCAAACATACAAAACATTGTTTTTCAGAGTAGTGTGCAATCTATTTTTAAAAAAAAAAATCTCCGTGGATTTTTCCGCAGATTTTCCGCAGATTTCCAGTGGCCCCACTGATACCTTATCCACTCATCACCAAGGTTCGTTTACATTGTAGGCTTTGACAATGACTATGTTTACTGCTAGTTGCCAGATTTGTGACTCTTGTCCATCTGATTTTTTTTATTTTTATTTTTTTTTCACTCATTAACATCAGACTGTCAGGTTTGGTACTGCAGAAGGACTTTATTTATCTCTTACAAGACTGGTTGAAAACTTCTAACCTTCAGCTTTTCTCTTTTTCTTCTGTGTCTGTGCAGATGGCTTTTAATGCTTTTCCACCTGTCCCCTTGTTTTTTAGGAGGATATAAATGCTATAGAAATGGAGGAAGACAAAAGAGACCTGATATCAAGAGAGATCAGTAAATTCAGAGACACACACAAGGTAGTATTCTTGTTTTTGCACTTAATACAAATTAGGCTTTTTCGAAATCCAGAAAAACACTGTTAAAAATGTAGCTGTACATTGCGATATCACTTAAAATGCTGTTTGTATTAGGTTTAATATACGTAGTTCTTTAGAAGTCAACAAAAGACAAATGCCACGTTAAAGTGGCCCTTTTCATCTTTATGCTAAGATTTTTTGATTGCTACTGATTACTTTGCAGTCATCTCACTTTAACATGAATAAAGGCAACTTAAGTTTCTACACATACATTAAGTCAAGCTATTTATAACTAAAGAATAAATGGGGCTGCAGTATGACATACACTTGAGTGTGTTTCTGTAGGTAGATTTATAACATAATCCAAGATTTTATGAAGAATTGAAACTTGAATAAATTTAAGTCTTTTATTTTAATAGTTCTAAGTTAAGAGTGGGGGAAGATTAAAACTAGGTCAGTGGTTACCAGACTTACCAAAATTTAGATGCATGGAAGAACTGTAAATTCCCATTAAGCTAATCTATTCATTGACCCCCACCATTATGATAGAGATCATATGGTGACTAATGCAAGATGAAACTCACAGCTTGGAAAGTAACATGGAATAGGATGTAAGTATGAGCTTCTGTTTTTTCTTATACTTATGGATGCCCCCTCAGAAAAATATGCAAAGGGGTAACTGGCTTGGAAATGCTTGTGCACATCAGATCCCACCTCAGGATTCTCATGTATAGAAGCTTCTGTTAATGTTAGTGCAGCTGTGAATGTGTCTGCTTTGGAGAATGGTACTTATGGACAGTGGAACACAACTATGCATGTAATGTTCTTATTCTAAATGTTTAGCTTAAAGATGATACTACTTTTTCCCCAAGAGAGGAGCCCAGAGACGTATCAGCAAGCTCCTCTTTTCAGCACACGCTTTTATTTCAAAATACCCCAAGTCAACATTAATGAAAAAGTTCGTGGTAGAGCAAGGTGAAGTATGCCTGCGTTATTCACCTTTACCTTGTGTGTTTAGTGGGGAGGTACCGTGTTTTCACACAGCTGTATCAATGTAAACACAAGTGACTGTTATGTTGTTGGAAATACATATATTGAGTTTTTGTCTTGGCTAAGTTGGAAATAAAAACCTGCAGGGGAAAAAATCTAGGAGAAAGCAGCTGGAGAAGCTCAGTAGTTGAATGTGAAATGTCACTGGTGGAATTTTAGTAGAATTGTGTTTAATTCCAAGCCCTAAAAGTCACTGGTATAAAATGTAAACAAGTCATATGCTTAAAAGCAACCAAAAAAAAAAAAAAAAAAAAGAAAAAAAAAAAAGAAAAGAAAAAAAAAAGAAAAAAGCTTCATTGTTTCAGAAGCTGTTAGGCATTTTATTGCCTTTAATCTGCATTATTTGGGGGACTATTTTGGGTCTCTTACCATTAAAAATCAGCATAAAGCAGTCATTGTGTATATTGGATGTGATGTTTAAAAGGGGCTGTTGAATCTCATGCAGCTGGCTAGTGAGCACAGTGAACCTTTGCATGTTTTTGGTATGAGATTATAAAACAATAACCACAGACTGTCAGGGTATCAGCATTGCAGGGGGCGTCCATTTACAGCACGGACGAGTCTGAAGAGAGCTCAAGGTAAGATTTATAATTCTTTTACCTGTTCATTTCTCTTCATTGCTTCAGTTTATCTGATACCGTTCCCATCCCATCACCCTTTCAGATTTTCTTGTTTAGGTTGATAGAATTTGCTGAGGTGAGGCTTTGATTACAAAAGAGAGCATTTTTTTTCAATTGGATTTTAAGAAAGTGGACCTACAAAATGGATTTAAAAGACCAAGTTTTTTTGTGCATATATTTACAAATATATATATATATATATTAAAAATCACTCTCTTGAGAAATTTTCTTTTCTCACTGTGAGCAAAGAGAGTGCTAAAAAAGCAGAAGTTCAACCAAAGAAATTTCTATTGGAACATCTTAAGATAACCTGTAAGTATCAACCACTTCAGCATATAAGCTTTTCTTAATATGAAATTTGAGGTAAGTTGGATTTTTAGAAGTTGGCAGCTTAGTGTAACACCTGACCATACAAAGGTTTAACACACAAAGCTCTTGGAAAATATAATCCCATAGGAACTGGTTTTCAGTCCAGTATATCCTGTAGAATTTAAGTTTTGTTTTTCATACCAGTTTTCTACCAATTTCCTGCCATTTTTAGTCCCTTTTTCCTTTTGTGATTTCAATGTATCCAACATCAGTTTGCCTGTATTGTGCTATCAATGCAGTGTAGTTTGACTGGATACATTGATTGCTAGTGAATTAGCTTTATTTCTGTTGGTTCTCTGGTCCCTGGCCTATGGCAGAAGAACGCGCATTAGGTAAGATTGCTTTTTAAAGTTGTCTTAAATGCTTTGTTTAAAAGAAAGAGAAAAAAAAAGAGAGAAAATGCTGTTTCATTGTTCCGGTTTTTAATTTCATTTCAGTGGTGGTAAACGTGGAACCAAAGGGGATTTAACCTGTGTTTTCTGTTCAAAATACATTCAAAAATGTGGTGTTAAGGGTGTTATGACATCCATCAGGTTGAAATTTGGTGTATTTGGTTGTTATTTGGTATATTTGTGAACCGTGTACTTGCTCTTCCTCCCAGAAACATAGCTTATAGGCAAGGTTAATCCAGTGTTGGCGGTCCATGTCCTAGCACAGCATCTGTAAGTTAACACATAACAATTGCTTCCAAGGATGGATTTATCTATCGTTCTGTTGATGTATTTTCTATTGTCTTATAGGAATTCTGGTCATAGGAACAGTTTTTATTTGAAAAAAATGGCAATTTTATACAATTTTTGCTAGAACTGTAGCAGGTAACCCTTTAGTTTCTGTGTTTCAGAAGAGCTATTTCCAACCTCTTTTTTTTTTTTTTCCCTTTTTTCCCCTCTTTAACTCTCTCCATCTTGCAGTGGTGGAAGTTAAGGATTCCATTCTGCAGAGTCCAGTTCTTACCAGTGAACAGTTAGACATTTTTTTTTAGGGAGGGGAAAAGGGGAAAGGTTGCAGCTCTCTCCATTGTTTAACCACATGCACCACGTGTAAGTGGATAAATTTCTTTACCCAAGTTTTCATATAGGATGGTTTTGGTCTGCCAAGACTTCTTGGGAAACAATTCACTGTTCCAGTAAGCATTCCACTCAAATATATTTTTTCTTTCTAGTTGAACAGAATTAATTTTGTCAGCTAAAAGCTCACTTTGCTTGTACCCAAGTGACTTATTTCACCTATGGAATTTGTTGCCCACCTGAACCATGATTGGCAGTGCACTGTGTATGTCCAGTTCAGTCAACTTGTAATACAAGGCCAGGCCAGCCCTGCCCTGCTAAGGTTGGAGATTGCTGGTCTATGTAGATCTATGCTTTTGCACGAAATCTAGTCTTGTGATTGCTGCATTTTGTTTTCATACTTACAAGTTCCAAAAAAAAAAAGAAAAAATTACCCACCAAACCCTATGTAATATTTGAAAATCGGTGGCGGTTTTGGTATTTCCATTACCAGCCTTGTGTGTTGCGCCGGGAATATCCAATTCCTATAGCTGTGAAATTAACTATGAAAGTTCTCTTGTTGGTTTTTAGAAACTGGAGGAGGAAAAAGGCAAAAAGGAGAAAGAAAGACAGGAAATTGAAAAAGAACGCAGAGAAAGAGAAAGGGAACGGGAGCGTGAACGAGAAAGGAGGGAGCGTGAAAGAGAAAGGGAGCGTGAACGTGAACGAGAGAAGGAGAAGGAACGGGAACGTGAACGAGAACGAGATAGGGATCGTGACCGAACTAAAGACCGGGAACGAGACCGCGACAGAGACCGCGACAGAGACCGCGAGAGGAGCTCGGATCGCACCAAGGATCGGAGTCGATCAAGGTCGGTGCCTCAGAGTTGCCGTCTGGCTGCTTCACTTTTTCCTAGCACTCAGTACATATAGTTCCGCTGATGATTGCCCATTCAAAAGACAATCTTATCCAGAAGATCAGTATAAAAGCAGGAAGTCAGATTTTGGGAAACGCTGCATTTATGTAGATCTGAAGAATACTTGATTTTTTTTTTTTTTCCTCCAGCCAACCAGCTGTGACTCAAATGTGCCATTTTCTCTAGAATCTTCTTCTTGTCTGTAATGGGTAGTGATATTCCTACTTGAGGTTCTTTTTTTGCCACTGTTATCTTTTGGCTGCTTAAGCTAGTTATCTCTAGATTAAGCAGTTTTTGTTTCTTGACGCATGCATACGTGTGTATTTAGCAAGAAGCTTCCACTTTCGCTCTGAAACTGTAACTTGTTTAGTCAGGCTCTAGATAATTTCCTCTTTAGCAGAGGAAAAATAACTATCACTTTAAGTTGAAAGGTCCTAGTGCCTGGAAGCCCTAAAAACATGAAGGATTTAAGTGCACTTTTTTTTTTTTCTTAAGTGTTTTTCACCTAAATCAACTGTCCATTAACACACTCTGGGAGCTGCCATGTACTCATTTTTGGTTTCTGTAGAGGTCCCTTCTTGATGATCAGATTGCTCAAACAACTACCTGTGGATAAACAATTCTTGAATATATTAGAAGTGTTATCACAGTTGATGTGTTGGCTAATTGTATTGTACAATTGCACCAGAAAAATAACTTGGAAGATGTTATAAACAGTGCATTAATGCATTCCATTTGTGAGTGGAGTTGGACACCCAATACTTAAATTTGGACCTTTTCTGTTCTTTAGAGAAAAAAGCAGAGACAGAGAAAGGGAACGAGAGCGGGAACGGGAAAGGGAACGAGAGCGGGAACGAGAAAGGGAGCGAGAGCGAGAACGGGAGAGAGAACGAGAGCGGGAACGAGAACGAGAAAAGGATAAGAAGAGAGATCGAGAAGAAGATGAAGAAGATGCCTATGAGCGCCGAAAGCTAGAGAGAAAACTGCGGGAAAAAGAAGCTGCGTATCAAGAGGTAATTTTTTATTTTTTATTTATTTCTACATCTCCCTGGGGAAAAGAATTACTTCTGATGAGTGATAAAGACTCTTTTAGTGTACGATACAACACTTTCTTCTCTCTTTCTTTTTCCTAAATACATTTTTAATCCCATGACTGTACCAGTTGGAACACAGTAAATAAATCTCAGAAAAATGTCAGACTTTTTAATTCCAATGTTCAAAATTATAAACTTGCTAATTTCGGTGAAATGTTTTTTACCTAAACCCTTCTGTATACTGTAGCTGTTTTTAATGTTTTTGAAATTGTTGTATTTATTTTTCTTCTGTTACAGCGTCTTAAAAACTGGGAAATCAGAGAACGGAAGAAAAGTCGAGAATATGAAAAAGAGGCTGAAAGGGAGGAAGAAAGAAGAAGGGAAATGGTAGGGCTTCCCCTTCTCTTTATGCCCTATTTAGATTGGAGCATTCTGATGCTTTCTTTATAGATAGCGATAGGGCTCTGACTTGGCATAGCTGCATATGCTTTTATAGACTTGAGTTAATAGACTTGTCACAGAAGATGTCTGATAGAAGCTGAAGTACTACTGAAAGTCTGGAAGACAAAATATAGCAGCATGGGTGTTGCAGAGGCAAAAGAATGAGTATCACAAGACTACAGAATACTGTGGTTTTGATCATCGTGTTTTAATACATCTGTGACCTATACTTCTGTCAGATTTTAGCAAATCTTTATCCCATTCTATGTATATTAGGGCAGACTTCTTGTAAGCTGCTCATGTGCCTGCATCTTGTGTAATATCTAAGCACTGAGTAAATTTCTGTCTATATTTCCTTCCCTGTGAAGTTATCAGTTATTGAAGTAACACTTGGAAGTTCTGTCTGAAATGTTACCTTTGAAAGATTGAGACTTCTGTACAGTTTTGTCTTAAAAGCCTTAAAGCTTCTTTTAAACGATGGTGACGCTCATCCTCTTTAGGACAAAAAAAGGAAACAAAAAAGCCGTTAAAAACCTTTTGAAATGTTAATGATAAAATAACACTGTGCAAACCAGGGAGATTATAGCAGTAGATGTAACAGATGTACTATATGCTATAGAACATACAAGAGCAAGCAGATAGATTCTAAGAAGATTTATGTCATTTCAAAGTCTTTCAGTTTTTCTGGCTGGAAAAAATCCGTGCTTTTAGTTTGTATTTTAGTATATATTAAATAAATTAGCTAGTAGCTTTAGTAAATTGTCAGAAAGACAAATATCATTTAGCAGCATTACTTATGCCTCAATCCTTGCAGGCAAAAGAAGCCAAACGGTTAAAAGAATTCTTAGAAGATTATGATGATGACAGAGATGATCCAAAGTACTACAGGTACGTCTTCAGTTGATCACCAATAAGAAACTTGTCGTTGTCTATTTTATCAAAATTGTGGGATTTATTGGCACAGGTAACTCCACAAGTGGAGTTACCATTTGCAAGATTCTTTTGATGTAGGGGTCATATAACTGACTTGTTTCTGAGTCACTCGGTAAGTGGCAGAGGGAAAAAGGAAACTCCTTACTGCAACTGCTTAGTGATGCTTAGTGGTAGCTGCTGCTTCCTATTGCTTAACTCGAAGCAGAGTAATAGACAGTCTTATTCCAAAACAAGGGGGCTTGTAGAGGAAGGAGTAAAAGCATAGGCATAACTAAAATGTGAATCAAAATGATTTATTGTAATAGGTTCTTTCAAGAACCCCAGTTGAGGAAATCAGTAGTCATATTCTGTACATCTGTTTAATATGATGCAACAAATACTGTATAGTTACATAGAGAACTGTTATCCTAGATTCTTATGTTAACAGAAAATGGAGGACTCTTGATGCTCTTATGGATTTTATTTTTATTTAATGAGAGATGCATCTATACTGCATATTTCTTGCTTTGTCATATGTGTTTAACTGGAATGTTGTTTAAGTATGAATTCTGTCCCTTTTGTAGGGGTAGTGCTCTTCAGAAGAGGCTACGAGACAGGGAGAAAGAGATGGAAGCAGATGAACGGGATAGGAAAAGAGAAAAGGAAGAACTGGAAGAAATTCGGCAGCGCCTCCTGGCAGAAGGACACCCAGATCCAGATGCAGAACTCCAGAGAGTAAGTAGCTGTTGGTCTGATCCAAAAGGAAAGAAAGAAAGTAGTAGTCCCTTGGCATTACAGTGATACCAGTATCTGATATCACTGAATAAACAAAATCTGATTTTATAAGTTTTTTTAGGGGGTGGAGCAAGTAAGAACAATGGAAACAAAACAAAAATCTCTTTTTTTCAGATCTATATTTGTGGCATTAAAAAAAAATAGAGTTGGATTAATGGCAATAGTTGAATGTATTTGTCTAGTCTAACATGGACTTATTTAAGAAAAGGAGAGTCTTTAGGTTCTTTTAAATAGTTCTGTCTTTAAGAAAGCTTTTTATTTTCTTTTTTTTTCTTTCCCCTCCCCTACTTGCTTAATTGAAGATGGAGCAGGAGGCTGAAAGGCGCAGGCAGCCACAAATCAAGCAAGAGCCGGAGTCTGAGGAAGAGGAGGAGGAAAAACAGGAAAAAGAGGAAAAAAGAGAAGAGCCAGAGGAAGAAGAGGAGGAACCTGAGCAAAAACCCTGCCTTAAACCAACTTTACGACCCATCAGTTCTGCCCCGTCTGTTTCTTCTGCTAGTGGAAATGCAACCCCTAACACACCTGGTGATGAATCTCCATGTGGCATTATCATTCCTCACGAAAATTCACCTGATCAACAGCAGCCGGAGGAGCATCGGCCTAAAATAGGACTTAGCCTCAAATTGGGTAAGTTTCCTTTTATTTTAATGTTCTATACAGGTTCAGAATGAAAAAAGTCAAGCTGAGTAGCCAGTCAGTTTTCCAAATTTATGGCGTTTTTGAGATTTTTTTAACTAGATAGTTGTACGTGTGGGGGGTTTGTTTGTTTGTTTTGTTTTTTTTGTGTGTGTTAGGTCTCTGCACTCCCAAAACCTGGAGGTGTGAAAGGGAGGCGAGTTCTGGCATGCTTAGGGATTAACTTTTTAAGAATATTCCATCAGGGAACTGGAATTAATTATTTCCACTAATTTTTCACATTAATAGAGCTCTAAATACCTCTCTTAAAATCCATTGATACTTCTTAGTAATGTAAGTAATATAGTAATGTAAGCTTCATTTAGTAACGTAAGCACATTTTAGATTTAAACCCCTAAGTACTTCTCATATTTATTCCAAAAGAGCTTTTTAAACAAAGAAAATTGGAAAAAAAAAGCTTCTTTTGGGAGGGGGGCAGGGGAGGAAGGATTGAAAATTGAAAGAATTGAAAAAAAAATTGAAAAACCTCTTCCTGCCTTGAAGTAGCACAGCTGATCACAGAACTGCAAATAGAGCCCGAGTCTGGAGTTCTTTAGCTTGTTAGCGGCTTTCTAGAAATAAAAAATAAAAAGAAAAAAAAAGGAAAAATATTCTGAGCAACAGGACTAATTAATTGCCTTCTAGAAGGCTTGTGCATTTATTAATTGGAATTATACCACCACCACCACAGTTCGAGTTCACCTGTATTAGATCTTGAGTGAAGGGAGCCTGTCTCTTATGAGGTTAACAGATTAAAGCTCTGTCTTTCATAATGTTTCAATTCTTTTGTGTTTACTAAGAATCTGTGTTTCCTAAGAATTGAACTCAGGCTGTAATTCCCCTCCTCACTGAGCGTGCTAGTTGGCTTCAGGATAAAGGACCAAAAGGCCTTGTCTTCCATTAATTTTGAAAAAAAGCTCAGCTGAGATTATGATCTCTGCCTCTTCTGTCATTTGTAACAAAATTTGAGAGATTAAAATGTCGGTACTAGACATTCAACATGCAGTCCCATCTTTCTGGAGTTTGCAAAAAGCAGACTGGTTTCAGAGATAGCTTTATCAATTTGTTATTCTGTTTGAATTGTAGGTGCTTGCAATAGCCCTAACCAGCCCAACGCTGTAAAAAGGAAAAAGCTTGCTGTGGATAGTGTTTTCAATAAATTTGATGATGAAGACAGTGATGATGTGCCCCGGAAAAGGAAACTTGTCCCCTTGGATTATGGAGATGAGGATAAAAGCAACCTCAAAGGCAGTGTCAATACAGAAGAAAAACGAAAGCATATTAAGAGTCTTATTGAGAAGATTCCCACAGCAAAACCAGAGCTCTTTGCTTATCCTCTTGACTGGTCGATTGTGGATTCAGTAAGTTGCTTTGCTTTGATCATTGTGATAAAAGCCTAACTTTCCCAAACAATCCTTGCAACTAATAAAGAGCAAACACACCTGGAACCAGAATGGATTAAAGCAGCAGTGTCGAATGTAATCAAGTACCATCATTGTATTTCTTTTCCATGGACATTATTAATTCTTCAAAAATAAGTTATAATCCAGAACTGCTGCCATAAATTGTCTTAACAGCATCATGGACGGGGAAAAGAATCCTCTGAAAACATGTTTGAATGACTTCCATATTTAACAAAAACAATTATTGTCACCAAATCCCTGCCTTCAATCTAGCAGTTGCTATTGAGACACATTTTTCACTAGCCATGTTAGTTGAACACGTCGACATGGCACGTCGAACCGTGTTAGTGTTTGGCTCTTACAGCTGGCTCTTTCTAGTATCTTCCTAGCTGTCCTTTCAGAGCAACAAAGAATATGAAAACCTTTTTTTTCCCCTCTGTCTCTTTCAGACATTAATGGAACGTCGAATCAGGCCGTGGATCAACAAGAAAATAATAGAATATATTGGTGAAGAAGAAGCTACGCTAGTTGACTTCGTTTGTTCTAAGGTTAATATATGTATTTTTTTAGTCTGTTTTTTGCTCCCAATTTAAGCAACAACAATGACTGCAGTATCAATGTTTGAAGGCAGTATGTTTTCTTTTCTGTAGTTCATGGTATTGTTCGACATACTTGGAACTAGTATGTACCCAAAGATTTACAAGATAGGTGCTTTATATGTGCATGCCAGATGCTGTTATCTGTTAGATACTTCTGTTTGCTGCATTGATGAGGTTGGCAAAGCAGCTGTTACAGTGATAGCTTCATCGTTGGTTTTCAGAGCTAATATCTCATTAGCCATTCCTATTTCAAACAAAAATAGAATGTATATATAAAAATTTGGGTTGGGGCGTGCCAATATTTTACATTACTTCTAGATTAAGTGGATCAATTCTTTAGAAAGGTTTTTTTAGTTGTTGTTATTGCTTTATTGGCAAGCAAATACTAACGTCTTGAATTCTGCATACAAAGTCACTCTGAGACTCCAAGTCTCTAATTTTTGTCTTTTTGTGACTTTTTCAAATTAAATTTTGCATAGATTCTTCCATCAAATGACAACTAAAACGCTAATAAGTTGTTTAAATCAGCATAACTTTATAACTGTTTCAGAAGCAGAGGGTTTCAAAAATTCATTTCAGCTCTCGTGGTACTTGCGTTCATCATGACTTGACTCAGTTTCCCTTTTTTAGTGCTACTCTGAGAGGCAGACCAGGCAACAGTTTTGTGGGTGCAGGTGGCTAACACAAGGCAGAGGTTTAATATTTGCCAAGTTGTAAATTATTTGGAGCGGGGGGAAGGAATGTTAGCCTGTAGTCTTAGACTGCTTGGTTCCGAAATAAAGCATTAGAATACTTTAAATGACAGGCAGAAAATTCAATTCTGAAAAGTAATTAAGAGTTCACTGTTGAAGGAAGGGGTGCTCATTCCTTAAATTGGGAAAGCGCAATTGGAGATGCAAGAATAGTCAGCGGGATTCTTGTTGATTCATTGGGGCTTGCTGGAAGTTGCTTCCTGGCAGTGAGCTGCAACACTTGTACTGCAATGGAAGTTAATATGCTTTAGTTTTGCCCTAGCCTTTACTGTGAACTCATGATTTGGAAATAAATGTTTTGTATTTGCTAAAATCATATTAAATCTCCAAAGCATTCTAAATCCTTGGGTAGTAATGATCTAGTTCATGTTGAGAATGTTTTTATGGTTTCCTTTCAGTTTTCAAACCCGAAACATTTATTTCTTTCAGGTTATGGCTCATAGCTCACCACAGAGCATACTGGATGATGTTGCCATGGTAAGCAGAAATTGTATAACTTCATATACATTCTGTGTTACATTGATGCTAACAGTGAATTTTGTGAAATAGTTGGAGTGCATAACACACACATTTCACATTGATAGAACATGTGTGCTCTTTAGGTAGATATGAAAACAGCTTTATTAAACATGTTGTCCTCGCACTTGGATGGCTTTGCCATTATGGTATCTACATAGAAGATAATTTAGTTTCAGAAAGTCTCAGTGTTCAGAAAAGAGCACTGCAAAATGCTGCTCTTAGCAGGAGAGAGAAGACTCAGTCATCAAAGTTCTGTATCAGAAGTTTGAATGCTTCTCCCTTCCTAGTCTTGCAACTTTTTTTAATAATTATAGTTTCAGTAGGTCTATCCCAAGGTAATCGACAAAAGCTGTAGACTTCTCCAGAAATATTTTGCCAGGTGTTGAAGGGGTGAACTCTCTGAAATTAGGCTTTTGTTTCTCCTTTTTTTGTTCACTGAGAGGTGGATAGGAAGTCTTCACTTTCTTCACTCTGAAAGCTCAGAGGCGTCGCTTTAGGAGCTAAATTCATAACAGAAGTTAGTAGGTGGTTCTTGGTCTGACTAGTAGGTGACCTGGGAATCTTCCTGAGAGATGATGTGCATGTTAAAAGCTAACATGTGTTGAAGAGAAGCATGGATAATTTCAAGAAAGTGTTTACTTAGTTTAATAGGTACTTAAATAAGTTGGTATGCAAGGAAATCCCTAAGCTGAAAACAGGTTTACCTAGGAAAGAGTTAAGGAAAAACATCTTATGTATTTGTCCTGTTTTTATACTTTACCCAAACCTCTTCTTATGGCTATTTTTGGAGATCAAGGTAGTGGTATTTCTGTTCCATAACAGTGCTGCATTTTAGAACAACTTTACTTGAGCCCGGCCAAATTTGGTGATCAGCAAGTTTGTCTGGGTCCTGCATTTAACTTTTCTGCAATGCCTCACTTGTGGGTGAATCCAACTTCTATCTTGTTTATTGGTAGAAAATGGTCGCTCCCCACACATTTAGTCATCTTCTTTTGACCACAACTGATAAACTTTCTGCTGTGACTGGAGTTAGTCCCTATAACTGGAACATCATCATGACCTTAAAAATGTGCATTTCTTACAGGTACTGGATGAAGAAGCTGAAGTTTTCATAGTCAAAATGTGGAGATTGTTGATATATGAAACAGAAGCCAAGAAGATTGGTCTAGTGAAATAAAACACGCTCCTTGTTTCTAGGGTTCCATTTCAATTTTTTCCCCATCATTCAAGGACTTTGAAATTTCTCTGTTCTCAGAGACTTGAGACCTGTATTTTTTTATGTAGAAAATGTGAAATTTTTTGTCCTCTGCCCCCTTTCCCCTTCTTGGTTATAGTTATCTTAATCCTGCATTGGTTCTCTTTATAATTCACCAGGTACAATTACCGGTATGTTTTATAAGCTGCAGCTACTGTACATGCTCTCTGGTAATCTCGTTATGCTGTTCTGATTCTGTAAATATTAAAAAGTTGCCCGTTTTGCAAAACATTTGCACTTAATGGGGAACTATATCACTTACAGACAAATAGTTTTACTGGAGACTTACCAGCCTTTTTTTGGGTTGTCCTCCCTCTATTTAAGAAGTGACAAAAACACAATTGAAAAACAAGTGGTTTGAGCTGCTTTACACAAAACTCTTCTGTGTCACCTTACCTGACTCTGGAAAAAGAGTTCCCATAGACTTTTTATCCTGACTTGAATCAACAAGAGTCTCGGTACTTTGCCTACTTAGAATTACTAATGCAGCTGGAAACGGAGCCTCTCCTGCGGAGGCTTTGCTTCTTCCTTAGAAAGAGCAAATTGCAAAAGGTTTTTTTATTGTTTGCTCAGTTAGAACAAGAGCAGGACTTCAACGAGCACTATTTAATGTGCTTTTGTTTTTTTTTTTAATTTAACTTAGGATTTGTTCCTGAGCAATTTCATTTTAGCCCTTTCCTATTTATCCGTACTGTTTCCAAAATAATCAGATTTTATTTTCTATTTTTGTTTTTTTAGAATTTAGAAAAAGTACTTGTTTGGAAAGTTTGGAGAATGTCACTGAACAGCAGCAGTTGACAAAGCTGAAGTCTTGTTTTTAAGCGTACTGTTGAACCAGCCCTGACTCTTGTTTTCTTTAATTGTACTGTAAGCAGACTCGTGCCCAAGAAAAGAGGGTAATTCTTTCCTGCCTCATCTGTGTGAGTTTTTATAAATAGGCTGATGTAATATAAATGATGAGATGTACTGTACACTGCATTTTTTATCTCATACCCAGGTAAGAAGTCAAATTAATGATGTGCTATGAGCGGTTTTGATTGCAGGATGACTGTGTTCCAGGGAGCAAACCATCTCAAAACATTTTTAATTTTTAAACACAATTCTTAATAGCAAACAAATTAAGTAAAGCTGTTTCGGTATCTCTATATTGTATTTAACTGAAGGATACAGGTTGACCTGTTCAGAAAACATAACTGTGACCTTGAGTTACTAGTTCTTTGTATCTGGAGAGGACACTTGAAAACACTGTTCTTAACAAATGGGATCGTGTAAAGGTTCCACTGTGTAAATATTTCAGATATTAAAAATGTATATATTTGATTTAAGGGCTGACTTTTTTGGAGTTTTGTGCAGCATGTGATTTTTATTTAACTTTTCTGAATCAAGAACTAAAATATTCATAAATTAGGCATTGAGTTTTTAAATATACAGCCATATTTTGTTATTCTAAACTACCTCCTGAGTTGCATCAGGTCTCTAAAGCCTGCCAATACAGATGTGTTCTTAATGTGTTCTTTTATATCCTTGTAATACCAAACACGACAAAAATGTTCCTTTTTTTAAAAAGTGTAATGCTCAGATGTTATTTTAAATTGTGCTTGACTTTGCATGAGGCTGTTTTGTTTCGCATACTTACATGTGGCAACCTTCATCTTCTGGGGTTTTGTCTTTTTCTCCTGCAACTTCATGGACCCTAAGAAATCATCTCCCCTTTCTCCCCTATTCAACTTTGCATCACCATTAACAAAAATCCTCCAAGTTCGATAGGATTTCAAACTCATTCCAGGTTTGTAGAAGAGTGAACTTTGTGTGCTTTTTGTTTTGCTAATGCAGCATTCCAGCTTTGTCATTCAAATTTAAACAAGGAAGATGCAACAGAGGCCTTGTAATGTTATAATGTCCTTGTTTAGATTCTTCAGTGAAAGACCAAGTTGTGAAATTTCAGCTAAGTGTCATTTGCCCTCCATTAAAGCTGTATATTAATCTACTATATTATTAATGAATTAGACATAAGCTTGTATTCTTGCTTTCCTAAGGAGACTGAAGGAAGAATGAGGGTCATCAGGATGATGAAGACGTGTAAAGCTTAAACAGGAGTGTTTGAATATCCAGGTAAATAAGGAATCAGTACTTAGGAGGAGTTGTGGCATATTAAAAACCGGTTTTGTAGAAGATTAAAAAAATCAGCTGTGGTTGAAATAGGAAGGAGCTCAGTATAGCATCTGGTTCCTGCAAGTGCTTTGACACGTTTTCTTCTTCCAAACACAAGACTTTGGGTGAAGTAGTAAATTCTCGGCTTAGCCATTATTCTAACTAATGCTACTGTTTGTCACTTGTAGTAAAATATGGTTATGGTGTAGGATGCTGAGGATAGGGCACAACTGTAAATACTGCATAGTACCAAAAGTAATAAAAAAGTAGGAAAAGCTTTTAAAAAGCAGTTTTAAATTACCACATTTTACTGTCTAGAAACATGGAAGTGTGCACGTGTTTAATGCTAGTGTCGTGCCACGTCTACAAAACGTAACATGATGCTCAGATTAATGACATACGGGGAACGTTGTTGGTTAGCTAACTATGTATGTATGTTGTCACTGGGTATTCAGGGCAGTATGCCATAACGAGACTGTGGCAGAAATGAAATATTTAAACATAAGTGCTTAGAGAGGAAAAAATATCAATATTTACCTTGAGGCTTTGCACCTTAGCTTGTTTGAAAGCTTATATAAATGCCCTTGTTCTGATAATCCCTCCATACAACTGCCGTGTTATTCAGATCATGCAACTGTATAATATAAATTGTCTTTGAGATATCATTTTAGTATGCCATGTCAAATTGAGCTGGAAAACAAGAGCAGGTAAGAAACTTGGTAGAGAACCTCATACTTTTATATTACTGTTGAATTAATTTATTACATGAGGCATTTTCGCCTCCCTAGAATATTCAGCATGATTGCATAATCACAGTGATAATAAATTTGTTTTTCCTTTCTACTGCCCATTTTTAAATAGAAGCTGCCTTAAAAGGGAAACTAGTCTTTTGGCTAGATGGCTTCTATTCTAAATGTAAGTGGGGCAGAAGGGGAAACACCCCCGAAGAAGAACTTAAGAAACCAAATTCCTGTTAAAATTTTAAGTCTAAATATATCTAGTACACTATGGACTTTTCTTGTTTAAGCAAGAGAATGGACTGCTGTATTTCAGGTAGCTTTGTGTTTGCTTGGGGGATACATTTAACAGTATTTGTTCTTAATTAATGATGCTGCCTTGGAAATACAAGTAGTTCCACAGCATAGTAAAGTTCCGTATGGAATTACCAGACCGTGTCCCGGGGATGGTTTCTCTTTAGAAAGTGTCCAGGCTTTGTGTAATCATCTACACTGGTCCTGCATGACAGGAAGGAAAACCCAAAGCTATAAAATAGCTTTGGCCTAGGAGAATTTGGAGTTAATGTTTTAGGGATGAAGAATAGGCTGCTCTGCAGGTGTCAGAAAGCATTTGGTAACTTAGTATGGCTGTAAACAGCTTTACCCTGAGCGGGCATAGTATTAAATAGCACTGACTGTGGAGCAAGCGCTGCGCATGAATATGCCAGATGGCACATTTGAATGCAGGCATGCACTGTAACGAGTGTAAGGTATCGGTAAGGAGACGGCAGCGTCTGGTTCACGTTCAAGAACGTGGGCGTAAACTGAGCGCACAGTTTTATTCAAGTGATGCCTCTGCCTTGCTGGCCGCGGCCTACACCCTGTTCTGCGGGCGGGAGCTGCTGCGCGGGGAGCGGCGGCCGCTGGAGGAGCGGGGCCGGTCAGGGAGCGGGGCCCGGCCCCGCCGCCCGCCCCGCCGTTTCCAACGGCGCGCGCACGCAGCCGCCCGCCGCCGGAAGCGAGGCCAGGGCGGGCCGGAAGCGGCTGGGGCCGGGCTGCGGGAGCGAGGAGCCG